CAAAGTATGCATTTAATGCCTGTGTTTCTTCCTTATAAAAGCAAAGCAAGTCTATTATCCAAGAGTCAGAAATGATAAACAGGTATAAGAATTTAAGGAAGATCTACAATCCCATCTATTCAGAGATAGACAACCTCTACAGGTTCCTTACAATATATAATCATTTTCCAAGAAGTAGAATACATTCACACAGTATTATACCTTGCCATAATTTACTTAACATGTTACTACTGGCTTGAGCCACCAATGGTACACGCATATCTGACCCACTGGCTGGCTTCTACCACCCAATGGGACTGTCCCATTCCACTAAATGGGACAGTCATGCACTTACCAGCAGTGGTTTAGAGCCACTTGGTACCGAGATATATGAATTATGGCCCCGTGATGAACGCCTTAAGCCACACCGCTGTAAGAAATGTAGGTGTTCTAAATAACGTCCCATTGTTCTGTATGTAAACAGCTACAAATTTTCATTATTACAAACAACCCCCAGGAGGACAAAATGAATATGTATTCCAAATTTAAGTGCAACAGTGAAAAGAACTACAGATTTCAGGAATCATGCATCATTACCCAAGCGTTACTGCTGCTCTGTTAATCATTCTTGCAGGGATGAATTCACTGAGCGAACATATGCTGCATGTATGTACCTACTATGTGCCTACATTTTGCTAGTTGCTAGTTGCTTGTTCATGTCCTCACAGGCCAAAAACAGGGATACAGACAGTTGCATATGCTTTGGAAAAAGCATAGACAGCACGGACCTTATGAAATTACTCAAGAAAAACAATTGAGCAGGGATAAATTTCGAAGCCATTTGTGGTAGCAACTCCATTATGCCATCAACCAAACTGCTTTTTGAAAATAACTTTCCTACAAATCACGTGGACTCTTAGTTCATTCTTCTGCTTTAATATACAAGTTAATTTCTCAGTCTTCCCAAAACTGAAAGCCCACAACGAACAACAGAGCCTCAGCAGCAGCAGCATAAACATACAGCATGCATCTCACTGACTTCATGAATTAAAGGGCAAGGTGAAATTTTGACCAGTAACAGGTAGAACTGAGAAAGTATGGCCCTGGCCTATCTTTCTGTGCAGTCTCATGGAACTACTTAGTATTTTTCAATGACTTTCCTATACAATTATCTGAATGGAAACCCTATTACATGTCATGCGCTCTGAATATTTCTCCTAAATGTCATAAACCTAAAGAGTGGCTATTTCTATTCCTACTTTACATATTAAGAAACTGAGGCTTACAGGGATTTAAATTACATATCCAGAGATACAAAGTCTGACCAGTCTGTGTAGTTTCTATTCATTCTTCTCCCTCCTCGACTCCTATAGCTGTCTAGAGAAAGGAAGCTATGGCCTGCAGTGGGTCTCCTGTTTCCAAGGCCTTAAAAATGAGCCCATCACCAATAGTCCAAGACGAACAAGATCCATAAGACTGCCCTGGGGCAAGGGATGTTGGAGTAGGGGTCCCATGGGACAGGCACTGCCCCTCTAACCTAAGACTTAAACTGCAACCAGAAGGTGTCACCCCAGGGTAGAGTACAGGGCTCCATCCTGGGAAGAGAGGCTGTATGTTGCCTCTATTCCTTCAAATATTCAGCCTTTCCCACATTCTTCTCACCCAAAAGAAAGCAAGCCACTGTCATTTCCATCCTCTTACAGCCATATTCCTGGATCCTTCCCAGCATTCTTTTCATGGCTGCAACAGCAGCCAAGGGACGCAACCCCAGGTCACGTATCCACACTGATTCCAGGGGGTTGGTGCAGTCAGAGGTTAAGTTTAGGGTTTAAAGTCTCAGTTAAAGCCCGAGTTGAATACTTGCTTCAAGTCTCAGTTTTAAACTGACCATTGAGGGTATCTCTTCCACTGACCACTGACATTAATGACAATTAGAAGAGGGTACTGATGTAAAAGAATCATTCGGGAGGTAAAGAATGGATTTCATTAATGGTGATTAAAAGGCATGAACAGAAAGTGATGAAATCCCAGACAGAAGGAGAAAGACCTTAAAAGGAAAACCAATTATAGACAAATTTTGTTGCAGAATAACAGGGTTTGCATTTTAATAGCACATGCTAATTCACCAGTCTTCTATCAGTATGTGTAAGTCCGCTTTCCATCAGAAAAAATATCTGTCCATTTCTTTCTGTTAAAACTGGAACTTTCCTTCCATTTGATAAGTGTTTTTAACAACAACCATATCTGTTCAGGCACAATTATGTAGATGGTTGTGTCATAATTTCACGCAATAGGAAAAATATTATTTAAGCCCAAAGAATCTTTTATCTTTAATATAATTAAAGTTAAATTGGGAGTAATTAATTGCCAGCACTCCCTTGGATATTCCAGAGCAAAATCACAAGCTATATATATCAAGGCATGCAGTGCAGAATAAGAAATCTTTATCTGTAACAGGACTCCCTCTGACATTCTTCCGTAACAGGTCTGTAACAGATAGTCCATAGGAGTTTGGAACTGGGGAATCACATTATGCTTATCAAATGCCACTCTGCATGATCTCCTCAAAAATACCAGAAAATCTGCTAAGTCTGACAGATATACCCTGTACTCTCTAAAGATATGGCAAGCATTTGGCACAATTAGGTGTTATTAAGCATGTTACCACTTTATCACCTGCTCAGGGATGACCAGCAGGAGGTCACTTAGTCTTTTGGTAGTCTCAGAAATTCAGATTGAAGGTTAAACTACAAATTTCAGCATTCATTTATGGTAGCTATTGAAATCACCACAAACTACAGACATATCTTGTTTAAAGAGTACTTATAGATTCACATATCTCAGTGTCCATTTCATAAGTTCAGCCTTCTCCTGTGAGAAGCTGAGCTCTGTCACCCTTGAATCCCACCCTGGCATAGCTCCAACTGCTGGCCAGTATTAAAAGCTTGGATGTGTCTCTGCCACCTAGCAGGTGAGTTTTTGCTTTCTTGCTGCTTCCTTTAAAGGGACTATTCGGACATTTCCCGGTGAACAGCAAGGAATTTTGCTACTTAAAACTAGTTATCTGGGCTATGGAAACTATTTCTGTCTCCCTGCATGTGGTTCTGGACCTCCACGCATGCCTTCCAGGTGTGCTATTCACCCCAGAGTCTGTAAATACTGAAGAAATTGAAACTTTCACACTGCACTTGTGTCAGACAGCCACACTGCAGTGTCACCCCAAGGATGAGGCTGATGGGGACTCATGCAGGTGGGTCTCCAGTGGGTGCTCTTATGTCTGGCCTCCGGTGGCTTCTGGGGACATCAGCTGCCAGCTGAGTCAGTAATGGAACTCAGTAGTTCTGTTCAGAAGGCCTGATGATAAGACACATGTTGGACTTAAGACGAGGAATTATCTATTTTTAAATGATTCCATTAGAGTTCTACACTGTCACTTTATTTTTTAATTTTTTTCTCATTTATTTTATCTTTTATTAGTGCATTCACAGTACATAATAGTTATATTTATCATGAAGAGTTTGTACATGTATGTACACCATGTCACTTTGAAATAAAAATTAAGGTTAAAAACAGAACAGATTAGGGGCGAAGTGCTCAGACATCACATTATCCTGCCCATCCTTGCTTCACATAAAGAAGACAGCCCTACTACAGGAAGGTTGTTTTTAAACCAATAATTAAACTTTATATTTCTCAATCAGTTCTCAAATAGCCAAAAGTCTTAAATTGTACTATAAGCCCACCCTAGAAAATGTAAAAGTAATTGTCTGACAAAAAACTATACACGTGTAAAGGGCCAATTTTTATGCTAATAAAAATAACAATGCAACTTTTAAATATTTTTGAAAGAGAAAGGGTACAATTATGTTGGAAACACACTGTGGGACAATAAGAACAAATGAAATATGCTTTTTAGTATAGTAACTCTTTCTTTGCCAAATACTGAGCAAAATACCCAGCTCTGAATTCTGCTGATCCCCAGGGAACCCTGGCCCCGTTGCCTGGTGCGCCTATGATGCAGAAGAGTTTTAACTCCAGAGAGGCTTCATTAGGCTCTGTGCAATTCAAAAGGGTTTTAATACCAAGAGGAGGTATTCCTGGAGGAGTGCTCCTCCTAAGATGTCAACAACTAACTAGTCAGTGAGGAAGCCTGGCTAAGGAAACCAAGGACCCCTGTAAGAAGGGTAATGGGGCTGGGGAGCCAGCAAGTTAAAGGGCCATTTGGAAGTGGTCAGCAATACGTGAGTGAATTCTGTTGAATAAATTTGAATCACATGTTTAAAGCAACCTGGAGACTCTTCCCTCAAAAAGACTTGGTAGATATTATTTTAGAGAAACAGAAGTAGCTAGGCACTCAAGCAATCCCAGGGCCCTCTGGGCTGAGGCAAGAGGATTACTGCTCGTGAGGACAGCCTGGGCTACTTGGTGAGCTCAAGGCCAGCCTGACAGACAAACCCGGTGTCAAACACATAATAAATAAATAAATAGCCAAGGGCACCACCGTGATGAAGTCATTTTTAGAAATTTTGCTACATGACGCAATGCTTTTGTTAAATGACTGAGGTCTTAGTTTTCTGATTTGGAGAAATCAGGGCATCACTTTGTGAGGTCGTGGAGCCTCTAGGAGGCATTTGCAGAGTAGCTAGTCAGATGGGAGTAACAGATGAGGCTGGCCCGGTCCTAAAGTAGACGCGAAATTTTCTTCCAGGGAAAGTATTTCCCTGCCTTAGGAACCCCGCTGGAGTGCACCACGCACTGAACCCTCAAAACGCGTTTTACTGAAACCCTTATCAGGTTCCAGCCGCACCTCTGCGCTGTATAAAAGTTAAATACTTTGATTCTACAAACTCTAAAAGGGCCAGACAAGGGTGCAAAGATCCCCGAGCATCGGAACCTCCTACCCACCCGGGCTATTTTACGGCCTCCAAAACCCCAGGTCAAAGAGCCCCGGGGAAATTAAAATCCACAGCGGGGGCAGCTAAGGACGAAAGCGCAGCCGCGCCACCGAAGCGAGTGGTTACCGTGCACCGGGCGCTGCGGGCACTGGCGCTCCCGGTCGCCGCTCCTCGTGGCTGCCGCGCCGGCTGCTGCAGCGCAGTCTGCCCGGGCAGAGGTGGCGCCTCCGGGGACACGCTGGTGCGCCGGGACCCTGGCCGGCACTAAGACCCGGGAGCCACCGGCCGCCGAGCCCGTGCACTTCGCCTCCCGCGGGTGCAGTGGCAGCCGGCTGCCACCCGCGGCCCTCTATTAATACTTGGAGCGCGGCTAACTGCGCGCCACCAGCTTGACCCCGCGCCAGGATCCCTCCGCCCGGCAAGAAGGGCTGGGAGCGGTAGGCAGGGTGTGGGCCATTACTTTGCGAAGGGGTAGGCGGGGAGCCAGTCCACCAGCACTTCCAATGGGAGCCTGGGCCAGGAAAGTGACCAGCCCAGAATCCAAGTCTTTCCTGCAACGTCTGCGAAGGGTCTGATCTAGCGGAGGAGCCCCAAGCCAAATAGTCTGGTGCTCGGTGCAGGCCTTCAGCCCCATGAACCTATTTTGGGGCCTCTGCTGTGCACAGAATCGGCTACCCCATTCATCCAGTACTGCCCTGACATTTAAGAGCCTTACAAGTGAATCCCTTTTCCTGATCCGATTTCAGCCTTTGACCTCTGCAAAATTCTAAGTTTAGAGAAGAGAGAGGGGTGAACTTGTAGTTACCGAATGGCAATCAATTCAGCAAAAGAATACAATAAATTAGAAAGGGTCAACATTCCTGTGGTCTTTAGGTTAAAGGTTTCTAAATGCTGTATTTGCACCTCCAAGCTCCTAGAAGTTTAGATTCAGTCAGGTTCTTTCTGTAAATTTAAATTTAATCAATAAGAGTTATTTTGTCATTCCTTCAGCCGTTTTAATGTTTAAATTTCCTTGAGACCTTTTAACTGAGGCTGCTGATAGGATAGGAATGATCATTTAACCTATTTCAAAGCATGTTTGTGACAACCACATTAAGGAATTGCATTTGTAGTCCAGGGCCCTTGAATGGGCTCAAAGAAAATAAATACTTTTCTTTTGCACAGATCACAATTTCATTCACTAGTGGTGGGCTACTTCTCTGGAATTACAACCCACAGCAGTGAAGATGGGGCACATTTTCTTCTCCCACAGAAAATTATGTATAATATACCTACAACCAAAGCTATTAAAAAATTAAAACTAAATTGTAGGAGGATTCCATAAATTTCTTCTCATTTGTAATGACTTTTACTAGGTAAAAGAGTGGGATCTAGTGGTAAAACTATCATATGAATTTTAGAATTAAACTTTGGTTAGTCTGTTAATAATGCGTGGAAAAGAATACACTCTGGAAAATTTTCACTCTTTTTTCAAAAGCATTACAATAAATAGCTCTGCGTACCAGCTCAGCATAATGACCAGTGTCAGCTGCTCTTAAATTACATACTTTTCTGTGTAAGACACATCAGGGTCTGCTAAAGCCATGTAGGATTACAGAAATACCAGTTCAAAAACCCATACAGAGACTTTTCTCTCCTCCAATTCCCACTCTCACTACCATTCAAGTGTTTTTGTTTTTTTTCAGTACTAGAGATCAAACCTAGGGCCCTTCACACTGAGTTTATCCCAGCATTGTTTTTTGTTTTGTTTCATTTTGTTGTTTTAAAACAGAGTCTAAGTCACTAAATTAACTGTGCTGTGCTCCAACTTGTGATCCTCCTGCCTCAGTCTCCAGAAGCTGGGATTATAGGCATGCACCACCATGCCCAATTTCAAAATTTCTTAGATTGACAGCCAGAACCTGCCCTGTGAGGTCACTCCTTACTAACTCATTCCAACCATCATATTTATTCCTACAATGAAAACATGTTTTTCTTGCATTTTTTTCTTCAGCTGCTGCGTACTTTCCCTGTACCATCCACTACAGAGCTGAAGAAAAATTCTAATATTTTAATGTAGTTAACAGAGACAGGCTTAAAATCAGCTATTCATTACTTTATGTTTTATGCTCTGCGAAAGATATGAGGTATTAAGAACCATTGTTAAGAGAATGACTTGTTCTACCTGGGAGATTAAAACATCTTTCCAACTAAAAGTGTGGTCATTGTGAAATACTTAAAAAAATCTTCACTGATGATAGTTGTTACCTCCCTAGTACTTTCCCTTGTGTAATCCTTACAAAAAATAGAGTTGTAATTGTTTCCAATTTACAAATGAGTAAAGTGAAGTTCAGATTAAAAGATTTACCCAAGAACACAGAAGGGAAGAGTTTCTAAAATGTGATGGGAATGGTCGTCTCTGAGCTTAGAAAGCCTGTGTCTCATCTCTACACTGGACCACACTGATTAGCAAACAGGATTTCCCCAATCTTTCTGGTGGAAGATTTTCACCAAACCTTTCCAAAAAAAATGTCCTTCAGACATACAAAGACAGACCAGTTGGTGTTTCAGGACTGGGCTATTGGCTAGAATCAGGCAGACACTGGGGAGCATTACTGAGGAGCTTCTATATGTTGCAAAACTAGATACACAAATGTCCTTAAAAAGAGATTCAAACAAGGCTGTAGTGAGAACATTCATTCATTCATAACTTCATTCAGTATTTTCGAACACTGTGTTCAAATAAAAAACAGTGTTTTTGAGCATTTACTGCATTACTCATACTTTTCTAAAACCTGACTTTATCTCAATAGCAAATCTCCCTCTTAATGCTTCTAAGATTAGAAATTCACTTATAGAGAAAGAAGGAAGGATTGGTTGTTCCATGCAGAGTTGAATTTACTTAAAATTGAGAAACATACCTGCTTCAGTCGTGAGTTCAATCCCCGGTATGGATAAAAAAGAAAAAGACAAAAAAGAGAGAGAGAGAGAGAGAGAGAGAGAGAGAGAGAGAGAGAGAGAGAAACATACCTTCTGTTGGACAGGTAGGAAAAGAAAAAAAAAAAAAAAACCACACACTTGTATTCCAATGAGAGTATGTCCATCCTTCTCATCTATCCAGAAGCTCCCAGATTGTGTGGGTCTGGAAGTTACACTGGCATGCTGGACACAGAGGCATCAAAACACAATGATTAAGAATGCAGTCTTCAGTGTCAGGCAAACACTATGTTCACATAGTGACCCATGATGAGTTAACACTGATGGCAGTGTTAACTCAATACGCAGTCCATCCAGTACTGTCAATGGGTGACCAGTGTTAGAATTCTGAGATTCCCCATCTGTAAAATAGGATTCATAATACAAATCTCATGGGATTTTTTTTGTAATATACTATGTATTGATAAAGAAGAGATTTTAGTTGCTAATACTTTAGCAAAGATCTACATTACCAGTGATTTAAAGAAATAAAAATTTTTTCTCATTTAATAACAATTTTGGAGGTAGGTGGTCTGCAATTGGTGTTGCAGATTGACTTTTTCATCAAGGACCTACGAGCCTTTTTTTTTCTTCACAAACCTCTTTAACACATTCTTTAAGCCTCAGAACTTTCTCATGATCACAAAATGGTTGCCAAGACTACCGAATGATTTATGCCCATCTTCCACACAAAAAGGGGAAGAGAAAAGGGGGAGGATAAAAGTAGCTTTGGTGGCTAAATCAGTTCCCTTTAAATAACTGTCCTGGAAGCCTTATTTAAACACATCCATTTAAAATTCCACAAATCCTCCCCATAAAAAGGTGATTAGGAAATATGTGTGTATGTACCAGTGCCTTAATATGAACTTGTCACGGAAAAGAAGAAAAGAATGGTGGTAACATGAGCAGCCCCTGCCACAGTTAGAACCACATTTGATACAGTACCTGGCACAGGTAACATACCACCTTGGAGAAGCGAGAAAATCCCCAACAAACAGCTGATAATACAACTGTGTGCATATTGTGTTAGGGGCAAGTTGCAGAGGGATGCATGAGAAGAAAAGCTAAACCAGGACGATATTTTTCATGAAAAGAAAAATTCACTTATTTCAAGCTAAACCCAAAGTACCAGGAAGCATTATTTAGCATATTTTGATGCTGAAAGCTGAGAAGAAATGTAACTTACATACATGACAAAAGAACCCCCATCCAGGAGAAAGACAAGTAGGGCTCTGCTGGAAAGTGACAGAAGTCAGGGAGGCGCTGCCGCAAGACCCAGACTGTAGCCAGGGTAGGAATTTAGGTACAAGAGGCTCAGTACTGCCAACTAGGCAGGGAGAATGAAAACTGAGAGGAAGAGACAGAAAATCGGCAGCAGGCAGAGGGCATGAAAGAGCGATGTGTGGACACAGAGTCTTCTGTGCTTTCCACTGCTGAAGAGCCCAAGCCCCAAACAGCACCAGGCACTGAGCAAGGAACGGGTAAACCCACACTCACAGGACACATGTGGTAACTGGGTTCAGAAATACTGGAGGATTGACTAACGAGCATCTCTCCTCTCTGTTTTTAAGCTTTTAAATTATTGGGGGGGTCACCCAATTCCCTTCCTGAATACACAATCCCTAGCAAACCTCTGTCTTGGGAGTAATCTTAAAATCTTTATTTTTAAAAGGAACTATTGATTAGTGGTGAGAAACTAATGATTAATTTGGTAAATACTGCCCAATTGATTAAAGTATTACTAAATGGACAAAGATGCTGGTTATGTAAGCGAGGTGCAAGCACACAATTGGTAGTAGAACTTGCAATCATCCCTCAGTGCTGCCTCCTGCACACTCATAGTCAGATTCTAGAGTGCTGTAGCATGGTTAATAGTGACATTTAAAGAAAATAGTTACCTGTGTTAATCATAATACACAAATGCTTCTGAAAATCTTCACCAATAAAAGTATACCACCGGTCTGGTTTCAAAGCAAGCAGCAAAACCTCGAGAACATTACTTGTTTGAGTGCAGTCGGTAAACCCGTGCTGCAGTGAGAAGTGAGGATAACTCCTCCATGAAAGAAAAGGGCACAGCTCGCAGTCATCATTTACACACCTCACAGGAATGGCTGTGATGCGGCTGACACCCTGGATCTGAGGACTGCTCTGCGGCCTTCCTGTTCATTACAGATGCCTGACATCTATCCACTAGGTACCCATAGCATCCTCCTCCCAACCCAAACATGTCCCATTTGTCAACCAAAATGTTCCCACAAGTTGTCAAATGTTGGAATGAGAGGAAGTGTTCTCAGTTGAGAATTACTGCTTTATAACTATTTGACAAAGTAATTTTACGTTTACTGAATATAATAACACAAAAATAAAATTGTTTTTTCATCTGACCTTTTATTTCCTTTTTCTATGA